CGGGGAACCACCAGGCACTGGAAAATCGCCTGGGGACCCCCCCAAAAAAATTCGAATTTTCTAAAAACGCGGCCCAACCGGACCCTCCAAACTGGACACCAGATCCGGACATCCAGACCGGACCATCTGGACGCGATCCGGACGTCCGGTTGACAACCATGGAATATATATAGCTAGGCCGGTTAATGCTCCCGGTATTTGGGGGGGGAGAAATGGGGCATAAAAAAGGTGATCCGGTAGCCCGCTAAACCACCACTGCCGTATACCCTGTAGGGCATATACTTGTTCCACCTAGATCTTCTGCTTCTGAGCGAAGGAATTGGACCGGTCGCCACCAGACATGTACATCTGAAGCGCAGCAACAAGGAAAATATAAAAAACGGCCCCTGCAGTCAGTGCCCAAATCACACAGTCTCGAGTGTGCAGGGTACCCCCTGGCCCGTTGCCAGCAGGTTCTTGGAGGTGGAAAGGTGGGTGGTTTTTTTTTTTTTTTTTTTTTTGAGGTGGAAGGTTAACCTTCTCCTGTAGATTGTCCTTCGGGACATCCGTTAAAATTGGGACGATACAGAGAAGATCAGCATGGCCCCTGCGCAAGGATGACACACATCAATCGAGAAATGGTCCAAAAAATAATAATAATAATAATAAAGAAAATAACCCTTCTCCTGTAGACCAACCATAAGGGACATTCAATCCAACATGAAAGCAAACAAGCTGAAAAGTTGTTTGTTTAAAAAAATAAAATAAAAGTGAAAACAACTTCAAACAAGTGGAAAAGAAAGGTAAACAATCTACCACAGGACCAAAGTGTTTTTTTCCCCCCAGGACTGAAGTCTACATGCCATTGTTAACAATCTGTATTATTTTTTCCCCTGAAAAAAGGTAAAAATGCAATGAACCTCAATGATTCAACTCCAATGAGCGCACATATTCACACCTCACGCATATATGAGATCACACGAAGTTCACACTGAAGACAAGAGAGATTAAGACCAGCAGCTTATGAATTCCAACAAGTTATCACAAGAGCAAAAAAAAAAAAAAGAGTCCAAGTCACCAGTGCTCAACAGCGCATATCAAAGATAACTAGTAACCAGGATAAACTCTCAGGTGGAGTGGGCGGCGCGGCGCGACCGGGAGCACCGCGCCACTCCGCTATCAACATGGGCCGGCTCGTGAGTTGGTGGCGCCTTGTCGGCACGGATCCTTGCGAGCAATATCGAGGAGTTGATGTGGGCAATGGGGATTACGGTGGCAGGCGATGGCGCGAGGTTCCGTTGGTTTTGTCTGATGCGGCCATTGACGTGATGCTTCGGCTGAGGGTTCTTCCAGCCTTGATAACCTAGGCTGAAGAGGTCTCTTGCTCCGTGCTTCGTTCATGTGGTGTCGCGGGTTGACACGCTAGAGGAAGGGGAGGCTGTCGGGGTGATTAGGATAGTCTTCATGAGACCTTGGACATGGTAGTGGCCCTGCTCCTATGCTCCTGCACGAATCTAGTGGAGGTTGGTTGGGCAGTGCGGGCAGAAAGTGAGGAGCATCTTCTCATGCGGAGTGGGAGGAGGGAGGCTTGTTACAAGCTGGAGCGTCAAAAAGAGCAGCTGGTTTCAAGCGTTCGTTTGATGGAGCAGGAGAATTTTGTGCGAACATGTGTGGTGCTCTTCACGTCGGCTGCCTTTTCAAATCGATTTTGCTGATCTCAATTTTGTATATTCTAATTTCCTATATTCTTGCTCTAATCTAGTGCTTACACAGTTATAAATTCAGCTGCTCAAATTCAGAAAAACAAACTGACAATCTTATCCTCTGTTTTCTGATCAGCCAAATTCTCATCTACATGTACACACATATACACATATCCTTGAATTTCAACTATAATTTCTAATAAGTCTCAAGCAAAGTATTCTCATCTAAATGTACACACATACACACAAACATATATTGTCCATTCTGAATCGCCAGCACAATTCGTAGGGATCTGTTCTATAATTACGTATCCTTGAATTCCGACTATAATTTCCAAAAGTCCCAAGTAAAGTTTCTACCGTGATTTTCTAATCTTGGAAGCCCGGAACTTCAGAATCTCTCCGATAATTAGTTTTCGCTTCTTTTAAATTGGTGATACGTGCACATGGTGGGAGCTGCCAGACGTTGATTGGCGCAAGGGGCAGCGCCATGCGCTTTTTTCAGTGGGTTGT